CTGGGAAGGGGTTGAGGGTGAAGAGGTCAGGAGAGATAGGGTGGGAAAGATAGTTTAGATAGAAACAGGAAGCAGATGTAGATTAGTAATTAACAGACCATATCTGATCTTACAAAGGACCTAGGATTTCAAAACAGAACCATAACTCTATTCTTTACTCCCAAACAAGAGAGGAGCCTCCCAGTCTTCCCCTTTGCAGCTGTTCCCTCCCATTCATGGGGTGCCTCTCCCAGTGGCAGGACAGACCTGGTGGTGGGTTGCTGACCACAAAAAAGTGAGGGCTGAAGGGTCAGAGAAGCTGAAGGAGTTCCAGGAGCTGGAGCAGGACTGAAAGGGCCCTTCACCCTGAGCTGAAATTGTGTGCCCCCCCATTTCCTCCGGACACACAGACACCCACTTCTTCCTCAGATGTCTCTGGTGAGACCCCGATAAGGGAGTTGAATCATGCTTACCCTAACTTCCAGCATGGTCGTGAGAAGGTAAGGGAAGGCATGGGAGTAGTCGGGGGAATAATGGCAAAAACAAGGTTCCTAGAAGTAGAAGCTATCTGGCTCTGGCCCTGGCCTGAGAACTCTGCTATCCACTCCACCATGTTTTATGAAACAGCAACAACACACCTCCTCCACGTCCCCTCCCAGGGAACTCCTCCTCCCTCAATACATTCCTGAGATGCATTCCAGAGGAGTTGGGCAATTGGAAGGGGAGAATGGAGGACAGGAGGTCAAATCCCAGCAAGGAATGGAATGTAAGAATACTGGGACTAAGGAATTTTGGGGCATATGGGGAATATTGTCAGAGTAGGTACCCACAAAGAGAGCTGCAGAAAGATGGGGAATTACAGGGAGTGTCAAAGGGAGAGAGAGAAAACTGAAGAGTCAGAATGTGAGAGTTAGGGGAGTAACAGTCTGTTACCAAATTTGGCCTCTGAGTCCAAAACCGCGGGGATTGGGGGAGGGCTTTGTGAGTGAGACTGACATATCCGGCCTCAGGCAGCGAGAGGCTCATTTAAGGCTGGACTGGGCAGCTGAAGGGCTGGACCTGACTTCCTCCAACATATCCCTTCCACATTTACATGTGCACACTCATTCTCCTCTAATGTATCCCAGCTGATGTACAGAGATCTTTCTCATAATGCCACATCTGCTGTCTCTACATACACCTTATCTCAGTAATGGTGAACCTTCTAGAGACACAGTGCCCAAACTGCAATCCCAAACCCATGTATTTATGTCAAAAGTGCCAACACTGCAATTAAACCTGAATATTGAGGTTTCAGTTTAGAAAAAGCAACACTATATTCACATTTTAAAAGAAAAAACACAAAACCTGCACGCCATAGGTTCACTACTGCCTTATCTCAATCACGCAGTCCCTATACAGATAGACCTTGCGAGAACCTCATCCCCTTTCCCCAGCTTCCCCACAAATACACCCCCATGACAAACACACCTCGCACCAGTGCCCCAGCTCCCAACACCTTTCCTCCCCTTGTGTAGGGCTCTCCATTTATATAGCCAGCATTCCTTGAAGGCCTATTATGGGGAATGCCCTGGGCCAAAATTTCAGTGTCTCAGAACTGCAATGAATAAGACCCAGCCTTTGCCTTTGATAAGCTCCCAGTCCTCTAGGTGAGTGGGTAAGTTAAATACAGTTACAATAGAGAACAGGATGCAATAAAAGTCAAAGAGCTCTGCTCAGAAGAGAGACCCCTTTAGGTTTAGTTAAGTGGGATCATGAAAGGTGCCACTTGGGAGGCAGAATTTTTAAAAAGATAAAAGAGCTAGGGATTTAGCTCAGTGGCACTGTGCCAGCCTTGAAAGCGCAAGGTCCTGAATTCAATCCCCGGTACCACACACACACACACACACACACACTAATAAAAAGTAATAGAAATTTGTCATTTATTATATGTCAACTGCATTTTATACAGAATTTTTGTTAATCCTAGCAACACTGCAAGGTAGGTGTCATTTATTTCCTTTCTTACAGATTAAGAAACTGAGGCTTAAGGAAGTAAAATACTTGTTTAATGTACTTGTCCAAACAATAAGGTGTGAAGCCAGGATCCAAACCCAGGTCTCTCTGACTCCAAAGCCCAAGTGCTCTCTGTCGCATCAGCCAGAGATGAGTCAAAGGCAAAATTCCAGGCAGAGAATAGCATAAGCAAAGGTGGAGAAGCAGGAAATCGTGGAGGAGCATTCAGGGAAGTGAGTAGAAGGCTGGCAGATATATACACAGGGTACCTGCAAGGGAGGAGTTGTGGGGAAGTCAGGGTTAGGATGGAAAGGCAGGGCAGACCTACAGTGGGGTAAGAGGAATTTTTATTGGAAGGTGACAAGAGGCCAAGGAGACTTTGAGCAGAGAAGGAACATACCCAAACTGGATTTTAGGAACCTAACTGTGGAGATTGATTAGAAGTGCACTATATTAGTACAGGGAAGAGATAAGAAAGCCAGGGTTAGAATAGAAAGAAAGCAGCCCCTCAGAAGGAATTTTTAGACTGACAGAGCCTGAAGACAGTCTGTTTTGTTAATACTCAGGGACAAGAGCCCAAAGAAAGGCTAGGGTCCCATCAGTGACCATCAGTGGCCTAGTGAGTGGCTAGGGCAGCTCAGAGTTCAGATAAGGAATTGGGAAAGGGGAAAGGGTCAGATTGGGATGGAAATGTGGAGATGAGACTATGAGAAAAGAGGATGGGGTATGATTAATAATCAGGTAGAGGCAGATGGGGTGGAATTAGTGACTACATCGGGCTGGAAAGGGGGAAAACAGTGTAAAACAAGCCTGGGGAAAATCCATATATGAGCAGTCACCGGATCAGGATGGGAGAAAGGGAGGAATAATTACGTGAATAGTGGATAAGTCAGGGAATGATGGAATGAGGTCAGAGTGTAGGCCAGACTACAGAGGTTTGATTTAAAAAAATGGAGATATGGTAAGTGGCTAAATTCAGCTAGGCTGGGGAGGAGTGAAGGGGCACTGGCAGTGTCTAAGTACAGCTGGGATCGGGATGGGGGTTGGAACAGCATGAGGTAGTCAGTGGCTGAATCAGAGGTTACATAGAGGATAGTGCTGCGGTCAGTGGTATGGTCAGCCTGGGAGTGAGATGGGGGTGTGGTCAGTGGCCTGGTTGGGTGTGGGATCAGCAAGACCCAGTTTCCTCTTTGGGTCTCATTTCCTCTTTCTGTTAGGGAGTGGGGGAAGGGGACCTGCAAGTGGACCAAGAAATTCAAGTCAGGTCAGAACCAGGGGATCCATGTAGCACGAGGGTCAACATTCAGCATGCCACCAGTGATATGCATATGTGCAAATGAGTGAAAATGGTGGGAAAGTGCTTTAAGACAGTGGAAACCTCAGATTTGGGTGGGGGTAAATTAAAGTAAGATGTGTAACAAGGTTTGGGAAGGGAGGCGGCAAGAAGGATGAAATGGATTGGTAAGAAGATGTACAGAGAAGAGTTAAAGAGCAAGGAAGTATTCTGTAAGGAAACACAAAGGAAGGGTGTGCAATGTGGAAACGGATAGGAATTGAAGAGGAAGGCTTAATACCTAGGCAATGAAGGAAGAGGGAAACAGGGCAAACTGTCAGGGGATTCGGTCATCCCCTTCCTCCTTGATAACAGTGTCCCTTCGTTGGCTTCCCTCTACTTAGTCTCAGGTCTCTTCTTTGCCAGGTAGTCCCTTCCACTTATGACTAGGCATTGTACATTTCCTGAGTCCCTGTCCATTTTCACCTCCTGTCTCATAAACAACATAGTCCAGGAATCCCTGCCCTCTAACTGTGGCAGCCACAGCAAAAGCTTTGATCTTGGAGGGTAGGTAATAAAGAAGCTGGAATCCCAGATACTTGCAATCCTAGCTGAAATCCAGAACCTTGACCTAATTAGCCTGTCATTTGTACATAAAAGAAGTTACTGTTACTACAGAGAAATGTGGAGCTTTTTCCACAAAACAAAGGCATCCACCACCTGCTAATCTCTTAATTTTACCTGCTCAAGCTTCACTACATACCTCAGCCTCAACCACAACCCATAAGCTTGCCTTTAATTCCTTACATTAGCCTTGACCCTAATTTGTTTCCTGATTCCCAGTCCTGGCTTTGCCATTTATCCCTTTCCAAGCAGACATGCTGATCTAATTTTTACCTTTAACAACATGCTCCCTTACTTTAAACTAAATGTTGAGCTGTAAGCCTAAAAGCCCATTTTTAAATTGACTCCTAAAACATTTTTTCAGTTTCTGCGTAACACTAACTGTGACAACAGTCTTTAATCTCCAAAACGGAATTCTAATTCATGTTGACCCTTAACCTGGTGCTGAACTCTTGACTTTTGCTGGGCGTTCCAAAAAACGAAATAACGAGCTTAATCTAAACCTCACCTTACAAAACGGACACAACTCACATGAATAACTTCAATTTTAGCCCAGCGCGTTCTAAACGTCTAAAGTGACCAATGACTTCTAAACCCAAGCCCACATAAATTCGAAAGTCACCCAAAGCTTTCCTACCCACTTACCCGCTATCAGCGAACACCAAAGCCCATCCCCGCCCTGCGCCTCACTACCACCACATTTCTCACCCGCCTCAAAAGCTATCTCAGGCGGAGGACTGCTCCCCGGAAGGGGCTGCCTCCAGCAAGACGGCCTACTTAACTCTGAGCCCAACCCGAGACGACTGGACGCTGACCTCTCTAAGAAGCCCCGAAAGAGGACAAGCAGAAGAATCGGGGCTCCGCCCGCCTCCTGCCTCCCCGGGCCAGGCCCCGCGGCCCCACCCCGGAGCTCCGGCAAGCTATCTCAGGCGGAGGACTGCTCCCCGGAAGGGGCTGCCTCCAGCAAGACGGCCTACTTAACTCTGAGCCCAACCCGAGACGACTGGACGCTGACCTCTCTAAGAAGCCCCGAAAGAGGACAAGCAGAAGAATCGGGGCTCCGCCCGCCTCCTGCCTCCCCGGGCCAGGCCCCGCGGCCCCACCCCGGAGCTCCGGCGCGAGAAGCTCCTTCCCCGGGTCGCTGTCGGGCTCGGGCCTCGCCCTCTCTTCCACTCTCGGCCACTTCCGTCCCGGGAACGTCCCCCACCGCGGGAGGAGTCGTGGGCGCACGCTCTATGGTTTCGGGGACTTCAGGAAGCTGCTCTGGCCCCGGCTCTCGATGCTCAGGAGCCTGTCGAAGATATGCAGCTCCACCCCGGCAGGAAGCAAGGGTGCGGTGCAATCCGGAGAAAACGCCCGAGCTACGCCCGAGTTCCCTTTTAAACCGTATTTCTTCTTTTTTCTAGCTTGGGGCGAAGGCGGAGGCGGATCCCCAGAATCCCCGCCCTCGGGTTGTGAGGAAGCAAGTGGGACATCCCCATAATTTGCATAGCCCCTGGGACGTGGCGCGGCGGGCGGGCCACTTCCGAGTTGGTGAGAACTCCAAATTCCAAAATGCCGTGGGACTAAACGTCACTTCCGTTGTGTTGGAGGCACTATACTATTTAGGCTGGGAGGCAGGTCTTGTTTGACGCCATCCCCTCGCTGGCTGTTTATGCGGAAGAGGGGCCAGGTAGGTGCGGGAGACCGACTGTTAGGCAGAGGATTGTGTTTGGGGTCGTGAGCTTGAGCCGCGTAAAACAGTGAGCTCGTGTGTTTCTGCCTGTCCTTTCCGTAGATGGCCCAAATGGACCTGGCGTTGGACCCTGATGACCAGGACCTGCTGGGTTTCCTACTAGAGGAAAGCGGACATTTGGGGAGTGCGCCCGGTGAAGCTCAGGAGGCTCCGCTGGACTGGGAGCTGCCCTCCTCCCAGGTGGGTAGGGGTTCTGAGTGGCAGAACTAGAGAAGTCCCTGGGTCCGGGAGGGTGGAGGAGAGTGAAGGCTTTTTAATTTGTTAGAATTTTGTGCAAGAACTGAACGACTGGGAGGTAGAGAATTTGCTGAATGCCCTGCTGAGTCCTCCACCATCGTTGGACATTCTGAACTCCTCTAACATCTGTCCTGTCCACCATGATCACACCTACTCTCTTCCACATGGACATGTCTCCATAGATTTAGGTGAGCATGAAATGAGTGAAATATGGGGGAAGGAGAGGGGCCTATGGTCCTGGCTAGTCTTACTTTCCCCTTTGCAGATAGTGGGAGCTGTGGAAAGGAGAGGGCCCACATGACTCCACCGAATTTGGAGGAGCCCCTAGAGCAGGTACTTGACTTGATTATCGGGAGGATTATTTCCATGTTGCCTGGGTGGGGCCGGAATCTCTATTCCTCTCTAACATCTGGGTACAACTGGCTCCCTGCTTCCTGTTAACTCCAGGAGTCTGCCAAGCTGATACTGACAGAGGAGGAGGAGAGGCTATTGGAGAAGGAGGGGCTTGCTCTGTCTGGAACACTTCCTCTCACTAAGGTCAGACTTCACTCGTTGAGCAAAGGCTGTGGGGGACTGTCGGTCCCAATTACACAAATTCTTTTCAGTTTATATCAGTATCTTGGAAAAAAAGATGAGGTAAGAATCTTATTAAATCTCTTAATAGGAAACTGGTACAGGTGCTGATTTTGTGGGGTTTATATAAATTTTGGTGTTCTATTTAGGTAAAAAGATTTCAAACTTATCTGTACAACACCTGGTATAGGGCCTTGGGAAGTACTATGCAGGTAAAGGGCCTTGGAATTTAAGATTTGTGTTCATGGTAATCCACCTCTTGCTCAATGGTTTGAGAGTTCAACAAGGGTGTGGATCAAACAGTATATAGTAACATGAAAAAATATAAAATCTAGTTTTAAGTTTCCTGGAATGAATGGCAACTTCACAGGTACAGTATTGTGATACTATGATGAAATCACAAAGTTTAGGGAAATTTTAATTTCTAAAAAATACAAGATGAGCGACTTCGTGGTGGTCAATGCCTATAATTCCAACATTCTGAGAGGGTGAGGCTGGAGGATCACAAGTTCAAGCCCAGCCTAAGCAACTTACTGATACACTGTCTCAAAATAAACAATGAAAAGGGTCAGGGATGTAGCTCAATATGAAGACCTTGACTTCAATCCCCAATAAAACTACAAAAATAATAATAAATAAAAAACCAAAAGTGAGGGTGTGGTTTAGTGTTAGAGTGCTTGCTTAGCATGTGCAGTGCTCTGGGCTCAATCCTTATAGTACAATTTTTAAAAAAAGGACAAGATGAGCCTGATGTGACTAGTACATGGGATTTAGAAACTGTTATCAATAGAGGTGCTTGGTTCCGCCACCTGCCTCCCAAGCACAAGGTTGAGTTCGATACCAAAAAAAATAAAAAAATTAAAAAAAAGGAGGTGCTGCTCCTATACAGGTGTAGCTCTCCTTTACACTGGCCACAGCACATATATGACCCATCTAGAGGGTGTAATCCATCCTAAGGACAGAAGCTAAGTTAAAATTATCCAGGTTTTTTTCCTTTTAAAATTTTGAGGGCTGGGTGTGGTGGCGCACAGCTGTAATTCTAGCACTCAGGAGGATCCCTGAGTTCAAGGACAGTCCAGGCTAAACAGTGAGTTTGAGACCAGTCTGCAACCCTGTCCCCCCAAAACAAAACAAAAACCAAAAATCTCTGAGGAAATGTTAAAAGTGCCTTAAAATAGCTAAACAGGGTTTGTTCTGTATGGCTCCAGAGAGTCTATTAAGTCCAATGGATATAACTTAGAAGGAGACAGATGTTGGTTCATAAAGGAATTTTTAATTACTATTATTAATAAAATTGTAGAAAATGGTTTGGCTTGTCAGAAGCTGAATACCTGTTAGTAAGGGAATCTATAAAAATAATTCTTGCATTGGGAATACTTCAACTCCTTGATCCAATAGTCCTGATACTACTTTCTCCACCTTCTCTCAGATGGAGGAACAAGTTCTGAAACGAGTACGGAGGAAAATTAGAAACAAGAGGTCTGCTCAGGAGAGCCGAAGGAAGAAGAAGGTGTATTTGGGGGGTTTGGAGAGCAGGTATGAAAGGGAGAGGAAACAGAAAAAAAAATAGTTGGACGTGTTACACTTTTAAATTTTTTTGAGTGTTGTTTTTGGAGGGAGGATACAGCCTGTATCTGTTATCTTCAGGGTCTTGAAATATACAGCTCAGAACCTGGAGTTACAGAACAAAGTACAGCTTCTGGAGGAAGAGAATCTGTAAGCAACCCACCAAATCACCCATCTCCCTCCATCTGATGTATTCTCACTTTTCCCCCCAGCCCTACACTTGATTTCTAATGAGGCAAGTGCTTGGATTTTACTGAGTATGTGATTTTCAGAAGCTCATAGTTAAATTTATAAATTAAGTACCTAAAAAGAGGAAAGAGAAATAAGACCTCATGGGGCAGGCAGTATCTGAGAGCAGGAAGGATGGTGGAGAAAGCATTCTAGGCAGAGAGGACAGAACACAGTTGGGTTTGATTGAGACTCTTAACACAGGCAAGCCAGGCCGGAAGGTAGAGAAGACAGTGCTTGGTAAAGCTTATGTGTACAGCCGATTGGGCAATGGAGAATTACTGAAGTTATTTGCAAAGGAGTTTTAAGAGAGGGCGAAGAGCTGGGCGTGGTGGTGCACCCCTGAAATCCCAGCACTCAAGGGGCTGAGGCAGGAGAATCAGAGTTGAGGCCAGCCTGTGCTACATAGTGAATTCAAGGCTAAGTTGGACTACATAGCAAGATCCTCAAAACAAACAAAAATCACCAAAAAAAAAAAAAAGATAAAGAAGTTTGTTTTAATTAGGGACTACAGGTATTTTGTCCACAAGGATGAAGTCATTTGCAAAAATAAGATGAAAAGATGGGGCATAAATGGAGGATATGGCCATAATAGTTTCACTGAGGCCCACAGTGCTGAGCCAGGGGTGCTCACTAGTGTCCTCTCTCCCGCTAGGTCCCTTCTAGATCAAGTGAGGAAACTCCAGGCCATGGTAATTGAGATATCAAACAAAACCAGCAGCAGCAGCACCTGTGTCCTGGTGAGAAGGGTGATGGGAGAAGAGATCATTTTCTCAAGCTGTGGGGCCAGCAAGGGTATAATCCAGAGTGCTTATCTTTTTTTTGTACTCTAGGTCCTACTATGCTCTTTCTGCCTCCTCTTTGTACCTGCTATGTACTCCTCTGACACAAGGGGTAGCCTGCCAGCTGAGCATGTTGGTAAGCGGCTTAAAGATATTTAAGGCATGGGTCGGGGGAGAGGCCTGGGCTTTGTGTTGTCTCCTGACAATTGTTTGCCTCTTCAGTGTTGTCCCGCCAGCTTCGTGCCCTCCCCAGTGAGGACCCTCACCAGCCAGAGCTGCCTGTTCTGCAGTCAGCAGTACCAGTGGACAGCATAAATCAGTTGCTGGACAGTTCCAACCTTGCGCTGCAGGCCCCTGGCAACTGTTCCTGCCTGTTGCACCACATGCCTCAGCCTTCTCAGGCTGAGCCTCTCCAGTATCAGCCACTCCTTAACCTCTTCTCAGAGCCCCCCTGCCCAGTTCTCATGCTTCACCTGCAGGCAAATCTCACAAGAAAGAAGTCTGTCATCTTGCAGAGCAGATACTCAGGTTAGACTAGAGGATATAAGTTATCTCAGCTATAGCTGAAGCACCCCTTCTCATCTGTGTCCAAATAGAAAGGAACAGGAGAGTTGGCCTTCATTCCTGTGGCATTAGGATGCCTGACCAGTCAAACACATACATCCTGGCTTTGTGGGTCTTTTATTTGTACGCGTGTGTGTCTATCTCATGAATGGAGCTGAGGAAATCAACTGACTTCCTCCAACATTTCATACAGTAAGGGAAGAGGTAAGGAAAATAAATAAGTGATTTTGATCTTGATTCACCCTCAGCCCCTCTTTACTGGCACAGTTGTGTGAGAAGGGAGGGAGCATGATTGTCCTGGAAGCTCAGGGCTGCAGGAGGTGGGGGTAAGGAGCAAATACCAGGCTGGATGGAGGTTGTCATCTCATGATTTGGAGGGCTTTCTCTGGGGTTAGGTTTGCCAAGGCATCCTTTGGTCCACATTTAGGCCCTGTGCTTAGTCCTGTGCCCTGTCCAACTATCAGGCTTTTTTATGCTTCTGCTGTTGCAGGGCGAGCTGCATGGCCCAGATACTCAGTGGCCTCATGTAGGCCAGTGAGCGGAATACCCGCTGCTGGCAGTATGCCTCTGGAGTCTGGAAAGCCAGGCCAAGGCGCTCCCAAACAGTGCGATAGCAGCCTTCAGCTGTCTGGAATCCCTCCCATGTCAGGCCCTGTAGGGAGAGATGGATGGAAGTCATATGCACCACTGGACAAGTAAAGACAGCAGGGTCTCTGTCCTCAGGGAGCTCAAAACTGTCAGGGTATATAAACTTGACCTAGTCAGAAACATGAATGTTAAGAAGTGGTATGCATACCAGGGAAAAGGGGGAGGCTTTATGGATGGATAAGATGGCTTTGGGTTGTGTCTTTTTTTGAGGGGGGGTATTGGGGATTGAACTCAGGACCTTGATACTTGCAAGGCAGGCAACAGAACCACTGAGTTAAATTCCCGTTCCTGGGTTATGTCTTAAAGAAGTTTAGTGGCTGAGGAGTTTTCTGAGCCACAGCACAGATTGGGGGAAAGAGAAAAATGGGTGAGAGTGTACATTACCTCTTGGATCATGGTGGCTGCCAGCCCATAGACCACACCCACCCAGACTTCATCAGACTGCACACTGGATCTATCAGGGACACCATGGGGCTGCATTCCATTCACAGCCCCCATGGCCCCTCCTGCAAAGGACTGGACATTGAGCTCGAAGATAGTCTGGAGAGCACGGACCACATGTGTGGTAGGAAATACCTGGAGGGGCAAGGGCAAAGGCAGGGACCTGGTCTCTTATATTTGCTTCCCATCTCTGGGAAAACCCACTTTTCTCTGTGACTCCTTTTCCTAGTCTCTCACCTCAGTGTCTCCTTCTCCTAGGCCACAGGCCTTCAAGAACCACTGCCCAGCACACTGGTCAGACATGACACTTCGAGACTGAGGCTGAGAGCTGCTATCATAGTTATAATAGCGGCCTGGAGTACAGGAAAGGCAAAGTAAGGCTCCTGGTGTTCCTATAGCCACCTTACGACTCCTCAGGTTCCCCCAACTCACCATTCCACAGCAGTCTCTCATAGGCTTCTTGGCCCCGGCTGAGGATGGAAGAAAACTTTTCCTGGACATCCTGTGCCCCACATAGAACAGCCATCTGGACCGTCACAGCCACAGCTGCCAGCCACAGCCCTCCACAGTAAGCACTGATGAGGGACAGGGATTTGGGGGTCACATTGGCAGCTTTAGCCACTCCTGTGCAATCTAACAAGTAATGGGCCATTCTTTCTTGAGCCCTACCATCCTTTGGTACCCAGTTCCCCACCTCAGGCCTCCTGGAAATCCCTACCCGCCCAACCTGGGGCCTGTGGTGACCCATCCATCGTAGGTCTGGTCTGCATAGCCACCATTCTCAATAAGTCCATCATGATCCTTGTCAAACTTCATTTCAGATTCCATCACGGCCTAGAGACAACCGACATACCAGAGATACAGGTACTAAGGAAAGACAGTAACTAGCTGGGCTCTCCCCAGACACCAGCCATGCTCCTGGCACACTGGCCACTTGCTCATGCATCCCTTACTAGACACACAGGCCACATGTCCTTCAGGAAGCCTTGGTCACTCGTCAAGTAATAATCTCGATAAACTTGCAGCACAAACTTCAGGTTCAGGTCCTTCCAGTCAGCAGTATCATGGATCAAATATGCATTGACCCGGAGCCATGGCTCATCGTCTGTGGGTGGGGAGGGGACATAGTTCATTCACATTGGTGGATAGGGTGGAGGGTGCAAAAGTTGAAGGAAGGGAAGCTGACCATAGGGTGTAGGGACTTTTACCTGGGTCCCCAATATCATGGGGAATGACATTCCTCCTTTTCACAGGTCCCATTACCCCACTCATCAAGTACCGTCGCCGTGTCAGGTCCTCCCTGAGAGTTGCAAGAGCTGGAGAACAGACACAAAAATGGGTAGGGAAAAGCAAGGAATGGGCAGGCTTGGGTGGGGGCACTGAGCTCTGAGTGACTTCAGAGGGGAACCAGCAAGCAGGATGCAGATATATTTGAGGGGAACATGACAATCGGGAGACCACTGAAGTTAAGTAATATGGGGAGCAAACAGGGAAGAAGCAACACAACAGCTACCCTCACCCATGTCATACTGCAGGCTGAGCTCAATTTTGGGCCACAGCATAATGAGGGCAAAGGAAGCATAAAAATGGACATCATATGTGTTGTACATGCGATATTCTTGGCCTAGAGGAATGAAGAAGACACAATGTTGCCACAATTCCTGCTTCCCCTTCATAGTCCCCTCTCTTGCTTGTCCTTTCAAGTTGAAGGTAGGGCACTGGCATCCACCTTATCGCTACTTAGCCTCCCACCAATACCCTGGAGTAGGCAAAATCTATTGTCTTTTGTTATCCTAGGGCGGTAACTGACCTGAAGGATATGCCCTACTACACCCTAACCCACCGGTAGTCCTTACCCTCAAGATAGCCAAATCGACCGTATTCCCGAAGGATGGGGCGGAGCTGACCCATGCTCCCTACCAGCTCCTCCGGTAGGGAGTCTTCAGGAACTTCAAGCCACACTGTGCCTCCATCCGCCAGAAAGTATAGTTCATTGAATAGTGCAGATTTGTACCAGGCAGGTAAGGATCTTGGAAGTTAGGAGGGAATGGTTTCATGAGTGTGGACTTCTCAGGCTAGAAAGGAGGGGAAGTGAATCCCAAGCACAACTCTACTGACTTTGGTAGTACACAATCAGAGTCCCACTTGGAGTGTGAGTGCCCAGAGAAATATAAGAGAGGGCCCCATTGGTACCTGTCATCTAATACTAGGCTCTGCCATGCTGAGATCCTGTCTTCCCAGTCTGTATAATGGCACAATGCATAGTGGCTAAGGGTAGGAGCTGCATCACCATCTGGGCCAAAGAACCTTGTGTACCTCCTGGGGTGGAAAGGGAAAGGATGAGCACCCATGCTCCAGGTCAGAGCCCCAGTGTTTTGGATCCCTATATTTCTTGGTCTCTCACCTGTAGTGGACTTGGCCCTTAGCGCCAAACACAATCCTGGGCATGTCCCAAGCCAGTGAAAACTCCAGGCAGCACCGGCCTCGAGGTGGCAGTTTGCCTGAAACACACAGAGCCCCAGCGATGCCTGCTCCTTTTTGAGAGGGGGTGCTTCGGCCTGAGAAGTACAAGAGGGATGAATTAGCATAGCCATCTTCAACCCCAGAGCTAGGGATTCCTACCATGAGAACAAGGCCTACTCAGTACCAGGTCTCCCACCCCCATGGTAGTCTTTCTTCCCAACACCTCCCGGTCAGAGCCCCATCACCAGTGGGGGAGTCCAGCTGTCCATCCTGAAGTAGGTCCTGCCACACCTGCTGCCCAGTGCTGTCAGGATCAAAGGCTGTGATGTGGGTTACCGTGGTATCTTCCTGTTGAGGGGCCAAAGACTGTAAGGCAAGTACACTGGGTTCCAACTAGCTCTCAGCTCTTCCCCTTGCCTCCAAGTTCAGAGGCTAAAGGGCTATGGTGAGAGTGGGACTTGGAGGTAATAGAATGAAAAGACTCATATGGGGTGGAGGTGGGTTTGGGGTCAGGCTGAGAGGAAGGGCTCAAGAGCTAAGGTACAGGGCAGGCTCTTTCATTACCGTGAGTCGTGCAGCCACAGCCATGATGTAGGGATTTGGAAGGGTTGGATGATGCAGCAGCAGCCCCTGAACAGTTTTCCCATCCCGCTCCAGACAGAAGGGCTCATTCCACAAACCCCCCTGGGCATCATCTTCACCCCCGAGGCCATTCCGCATGGAGAACATGATGGACACATCCACAGCTTCATCCCCTTCGTTTTCTACATCCCACACAAAGACTCCTACAGGCAGGCTGCTATCCTGGGGGTAAAAGAGTGGACTCAGATGATTGCCTTTCTTGGCTACCTTCCCAGGATTAGTCCTGGGCATGGAGGACCTGTTTCAAATACTGTGGTATATTCTTTTACTTACACCTCCCCATATCCCCAGCAAACTGCCTACCAGAGGACTCAGAATACTAGAATGAACCAGGCAGTGGTCTGGAGAAACCATGTAATGTTCATTGCTCCAACCTCTCCCTTTCACAATTCTTTTGGATATACGAGGGCAATGCAGGAAATAAAGGTGAACCTCACCTGGTAGTCATGGGGCAAGATGGGTGTGATCTGGCGGCAAGTGAGGGTGATATTCTGGCCGGGAAGCTGATAGACAGTCCAAGCTCGGGGATAGAGGGCATGGTAGAAAGCAAAGTACCCACACAAGCCCCAGTTCCAGCTGCGCAGGACACTTGGATGCTCCATGGATAGAACTTGCTGGTACACAGTCCGTCCCTCCCGACGCAAGCATACTGTAAACTTGACCAAGAGAGCAGATGGGCTGGAATGGAGTAACCCACAGGCACTGGTTTCTCTCTTCTCAGAGCAGCTTGTCTTCTAGAGCCTGTGATCTTCACCTCTAGCCTCAGATCATGCCCTAGGCTTTCTTCCAGGCTTAGCAAGAAACCACTACGTCCTGCTGCTTTTTCCTAATGTTGAGTACTTGCCTAGCATATATAGAGCCCTAGGTTCAATCCCCAGCACAAAACTAAAAATAACCTCCAAAACACAAAAACTTGGCAGCTCCTAGAAAGTTGGGGGGTATGTGGGATACCTCGTCCCTTGATTTGAACTATGCCTGTTGTTTTTAGTGTCTGTAAAATAATTTTTCTTGTTGGAAATAGTGCATAATAGCTAAGGCCACAGGCTCTTTACTACATAGAGAACTGGTTCTGAATCTCAGTCTTTAACTAACCCTCTCCAGATCTTAGTTTCCTCATCTGTAAAATGAACATAATAATGGTATTTAGTAGAGTTGTTTCTAGTATTAAATATATGCAAAAAGCTTAGCAGTGCCTAGATACGTTAAGCATGCAACAATTAACTGTACAGTCCATGTTTCCAGAAGGCATTTCCTCTTGGGATACCTGAGGATAAGGGAGAGGGGGATATCTTGAGAGTATTACATAGGGTCTGCAAACCTGATTATGGAAAGACATTATCACCAATGGGACTTAATATCTGCCAGCCATTTCTCCTTTGAAGATGAGCTGAAAGCTGGATGCATTCCTGGCAGGATAGAGGAGTTTGGTGGGTAATTCAAAAAGGGAGGTCACAGAGAGATGAAGAAAGACGGGCCACATACTTTTGACAACTTAAGGCCCTGATGGTATGTAGGAGCAAAATGGAAAAATATGAAGCCCTAAAAGGGAAGACAGATAGAGGTATAAGCCTGGGAGAGGAGGGGCTTTAGTCCCTGAGCCAGAGAGAGCTCTAGCAATGTGTTCTACAGCATAGGAGCTGACCTTTGAAGGTTCACAAATCAGGGAGAGGAGTAGTGGCACTATACATTTTTTCCCCATGACTTTGTACATCTTGGGCTTTATTTTCCCTTCTGGTCTTACCAAATGTTCTTTCCGCCACATTAAGTGACCTGGGAATTCTCTATACTCTGTAGCAAATATTGGCTCAGCTAGTAGAGGTAGGGCAGTGAAATCCGTTAAGAGGCGTTTATTAGAGAAATGCCAGGGCTGTTTACTGTTCCAAGGAACATGTGTTCTGTGCATGTTGTATCCCTATAGTATATCCCAGCACAGGGCTAGGCACACAGAAAGCATCCTGAAAGAACTTATTGGCTTGAGTCATATGTATGTCTAAATGCCAAACTCCACACTAGCCAAGAAGTATTCTTTGTCTGGAGCTGTCTACCTCCTGGCTCTTACCTGGTCAGCGATGACTGTCTGGTGCTGGTACATTCCTGGGTTAAGCTGCCAACGACAGAACTGGCCTCTCCAGCCACGGGTAATAGTACCTCCACCAATGCCACCCAGGGGGCAACCTAGAGACAGAATCAGGATGAATAAAGTATGGGGAAAAGAAGACAAGACCAATTCTCATTTTCTAGACTATAGATTGGTTCCTCTAAAAACCTAGGAAACTATGTGGCAGACCTAGAGGTTGGACCCTCTTTGAGCATGGCAGAGCTGGGGTGAGGCTCACCATAGATCTGTCTCAGGGGCACACAATTGATCATATCGATGAAAGGTTTCTTCTTTTCCACTTGGGTCTTCCGGTACCACCACTTCAAGTACCTGAGGAGCAAGTGGCAGCGTGAGCGCAAAGGGGGTGGGTAGGTAGTTTTTCACAGGCTTTAGTCACCTGCCTCTCTTGACAGCCAGCTGTGACCTCCCACCGAATAGCCCCAGGATACGGCCCCTTCATCTTCCCACTTGCTCCAGTGCCTTTGTTTCCCCTCTTTATTCTCAGAAAGAGCTTTATATGTTCTTTCCTTTCCTGACTCTAACACCACTGGCTTAGTTAAAAATCTCAAGAGCTTTTGTCCGAGGTGCTGAAAGGGTGAGCTACACTTCCCTGGCCTACATTCTGCACTGCTCACACTCCTGCTCTTCAACAGGCATAGGCTGCTGAGATGACATTCTTTTTAAAATAATTTTCTCCCTGGTTATGAAAGGTTAAAATCTGGAGAACACCAGGTAGAAAGAAAAAAAACCTTTTCACATAAAATGGATCAGTGTTTACATTTCAGGCTATTTCTTCTTAAGCTTGTAAGCTTTCAGACTTTGCTCTTTCATAATATTCCTATAAAACTTTTTAAAAAATCCTAAGTTTTCCCTGGTCTTGTCTGTGCCTTTTATCCAACAGGTAAGAAATTGTTTCCAATAGGTAAAATGATTGTTTTTAAGGCTAGGGCATCTGCCCCAATCTGCTCTCTAATCTGTTTCCTACAAATTCTCATCCAGGATAGGTTCTCACTAAGCAAACTCTGCTCTGTTGGACTCTTTCCCATTTCACTCTGTTCTTGACCCAATCATTTTATTTTATTTTATTTCGGATTTTTGAGACAGGGTCTCTCTATGTAGTTAAGGTGGGTCTTGAACTCATTATGTAGCCCAGGCTGGACTCAAAATTTGTAGAGATCCTTCTGCCTCAGCCTCCCAAGTGCTGGGATTACATGCATGCACTGCCACACCTGGCTCTACTCAATCATTTTATACCCAATGCTCAGTCACACCACTTGTAACCAACTATAGTAATTGGGTCAGCCTTTCAGCCTCAGTTTCTTCATTTACAAAATGGGGATAACTTCTGTCCTAGCTATCATGGAGTGGCAGAAACATGTGATGACATAACACATAAGAAAGCCATAAAGTGGAATACCTGTGACAGGCACAATTAGTACTATCTCAATTCCTAACCAAACAATACTTTTTTATTTCAACATTCCAAATTTTAAGTTCCTTGAGGAAAGAGTAACAAAGACTCCTTGAATGTTGCCCTCGGCATAGGGCAGAACACTGTCTGCAGTACATAAATATTTGCTTAATTTACAGTGGAACAAATGTACAAATAATGGAAAACAGCAAAGGTAGTCTGGAGCAACTGGTGGGAAAATGTGATTAAACAACAGGGATAGTTTTATAGTAGATGGGGTGGGGTTTGGGGCAAAAGGTAACATGTTGGGGAGCAGTTTCTCTTTGATAGTTTAGAGAAAACTGGACTTTGAAACTAGAGGCCAGAAAGGATTGGTGGAGGAAAGCCAGGTTTAGGGCAGCCAGGGAGACGTGCACAGCTACGGTGCCTCCAGTATCTTCAGGGCAATAAACTTGTGGATAACCTTTGGCAAAACTGAACTGCTCCGATGCTGGCACGTCGGTTCCCATGTTCTCTGAATCCTGGGTCCCACGACCTTGATGGCACCAGGTCACAATAAGAAGACAGAATAAAATAACTATTTGGGATAGAGCAAGCACTCAGTATTTATTGAATGAAAGGATGCTGGCTAAAGAGAGAACAATAAAAACCGAGCTAGGCCAGAGAACTGTCCTGCTGGAGTTCTTCTTCAGAGTGCCCCAGTTCTGCTTCCTCTTAATTGCTCTCTCACCCACTAAGCCACTAATTAGCAGCTGGCCATGCCTGACCTATAGGCCTTCTCCATAGTTTCAACCCCAACTCAAAAATTATTCCAGATTCCTGTCTTACCTCTGATTTCTCAAAGCGGAACCTCATTATATCTCAAAAAGTCTGGGTTAATGATTCCCACTCGATGCTGGCCCAGGGGGCTAAGGAAAAGCTTCAGGCTTCTGTAAATCAACTCATTCCGTGGGTGAAACACTAGGATTCCTACCTGTTGTTAACCTCACTATCCCTACCACATGTACCCCTCTGTGCTTCTTCAGTACTCTAGATCCCATTTGGACCCACAGGTCTTTGGGGTCAAAGTTGGACTGTCAGTTTCAGCAGCAGCCTGGAAGGATGATTCTTTCGTACAGGCTTTCCACCAGAAATAGCAAAGGAGCCAGACATTCAGGCAGCACCGAGTGCTTCCCACTTCCCAGGGGTGGGATTAGGTAAATGGTCTTCCCATCACAGCCCCTCAGCCCTGACTTGGGAAGTGAAATAGAAGCTGTAGAGTTGTTACTGCAGAAGTTGTCAAGCCTGAGTTTCCCAACCTTTGCCTCCCTCCCTAGCTTTGTGTTTACTGTGTGGATTGACTCAGGATGACTTGAGAATGATGCTTTCTGTCCTCACTCACATCCACCTGTTCCTGTTAATAGGTATGGCTCCTCATCCCTAGTCTTTGAACTTAGTGGAGTTCTAGAGGGTTTCTACGGCCCAGGATAAGCTCCTGAGGCATTTGTAACGTTTGGGGATGGGGAAGAAGCCAAGGCAGGCTCTGGAAAACTATTATTAAGAGCTCTGGCGACATCTATGACAGTGCCTACCTGGTCATCTGTGAGGGGGCTGGGAGTATACCTCCAGCACTTCTATCTACCACTGAGCTATCCCCAGACCTCTTACTTTTTTTCTGAGTCCAGATCTCATATCCCCCAGGCTGGCTCCAAACTCCAGGCCTCAAATGACCCTCCTACTTCAGCTTCCCACAGGTGCTGAGATTACAGGTGCATCCCACCAGGCCCAACTCTTATCTTTAGTTTTTGTATCAGGAGCTCTCTCTCCTAGGATAGAGTGAACCTCTCCTCTCCTCTTCCTTAGAGCTGACAATAGGCAAATTCTCACCTATTCCCCCGGAGCTAAAGCTTGAAGACACTGATGAGTAACATCATATGCTTAAAGAAGGTACAAAGAACGCTTCAGCTGCTCAGAGAATTGGGTTGAGAATGCCCCCTCAAATAAAATACTGTCAGTGCCACAATAGGGGGACTAGCCTTTCATACCTTGCCTAAAAGATAAATTAATCCCAAAGGGAAGTCTTTGGGAGAAAAACCAGTACATAAGAGGGATCCTAAATGAGAAAGGTTAATACAGGACCAAATGTTTCTACTTTTTTCGAATGAAAAGATCCCAGAGGGCGGGGGATTGCCGGGGATTTAGCTCAGTGGTTCCACCACCTGCCTCGAAAGCACAAGGTCCCGAGTTAGATCCTAGATACCAAAAAAAACAAACAAACAAACAAACAAAAAAACAAAACAAAAAAACTTTGGCCTCATCCTTTAAAACCACAGGCCTAGGGGCCTGGGATTTGGCTCAGTGGTTCTGCCACCTGCCTTGCAAGTAAACAAAAAAAAGCCACACCACAGGCCGAAAACATGGTGGAGATGGGGACCACTTGCTTTTCCCACCTCTTGAAGTCCAGGAAATTCTAAGCAATAGGTTCTACTCACCTGACCCCCATGCCCAAATGCTTTACCAGGTTGCTTAGAGAGATATTGTTAGCTTGAAAGGGTTTCCTCTTCTCTGCAAACTCGTGAGCCAGGCAGATGCGCCAACCAAAGGAAGGCACCTGGTAGCCCCTAGCTTTACCCTCATAGGAATCCATCAGCTGTCCAAAGTCTTCCGGACTGTAGTAGTTTGGCTCATTTTGGGGTCCACTGTCCTCAAGGATCTCTCCTTCTGTAACCTGTACAGCCTCGGTGCCTCCAGTATCTTCAGGGCAATAAACTTGTGGGTAACCTTTGGCACAAGTGAACTGCTCCGACGCTGGCACGTCGGTTCCCATGTTCTCTGGATCCTGGGTCCCCACGACCTCGATGGCACCAGGTCCCAAGCCTTCGGACACAAAGTATCTCTCCAGCCAAGTCCAGATGAGAGCGCCGGTGTAGTTAGGTGCCGTCCAAGAGGGCCAAATGCTGGGCAAAGCTGAGGTGAGCTGGTATCTCGGTAGAGCCGGGGAGCTCTCGTCGCGGCGGCAGCGGAGACAGCAATAAAGACGCCCTGGACTCCCCTTCGGTCAGGTCTCTAGGTCCTCCTGGGCGGGAAAGGTTGGGCCTCGTTGTCATTGGGCCGAGATATGAGCTTGCCGGGCCAAAGGCAGACAGGGCCAGAGGAGAGGGGCGGAGCCGCGGGTCCAGCCCTCAAGGCCCCACCTCCGGGGCCGGCCCGGGAGCCT